GATACTTTTAAAAATGTGCTTGTACTTTCCACACAGAACCAAAAAAAGAGAAGGAGGCCGGAACTGCACCAGCAAAAGGTGAGTTGGTGGGAGGGAGAGTGAGCCTGAATTCAACAAAGTTAGAAGCAGAAAGAGGTCGGTAATGATTGCCATGAGGGCCTCACAGAATTTCTCTACATTATCTTTCATCATTGTGGTTTAGAGTTTTTCCTTTGCATCTTATCTGCACAACCCGATCAGCATTAATGACGAATTAGTGCTTTGATCAGTTTTCATCACACACATTTTTAAAAGAAAAACAGTGATAAAAATATCACAAACACTTGTTGAGATGCCAGCAAATTCATTTCCAAGTTCCCATATGCATATGAAGGAAAAGAGGTGTCTGGTCTTCCTGGAATGACACCAATTTGGAAAATTATCTTGATTACCCAGTTTTTTTTTTTAATTGAATGTTTTCATGATACTGTGCAAGCTGTTCCAGATTTCTCTAGTAATTTTGAAAACTAGCATCTCATTTTATAACACTGTGTATTCATGTAGATTTATACGATGGTTTATATAGAGGGACAATACAACCTTTAGCAAGCATCCCGTTAATCTTTATTAAATTGAAACATTTATTTCTGTACTATTATTCTATTTTTACTTTATACAGAGATAATCCAGTTTTAGAAAATGAATAATCTTTATTATATACTGCTGTGGACTCATGAAATATGAATTCCTTTGTCTCCCCGTGGGGAAGTCATTGTCATTACTGACCATTTGTCTTAAGAAGCATTAGGCTTCTACAGAAGAAAGTTTTCACAGAGGTAGACTTGATAATTTTGCTTTGTATGTTTGCTATCATCATTCAACTTTTATTTGCGCAATGAATAATATAGTTTAAATTTTGGAATAACCCATTATTTCCTACAATAAAACTTCTTTTTCTGGGCACCACTCAAAAGCATGTTAAGTATCTCTTTGTTCTTACTGTCATATTTTATTACCTAATTCCTATGATATTATTGTCCCCTATACATTAGTAAAATACTTTTTTTCTTTCTTTCAGTACATTGGACCACTTTTCTGCAGCTAACTTGAACTTAAGGCTCTCATAAATGAACACACAATGTTAGTACATTCACTTTGTGTTTGACCTTCAGTGGCTCCCATGGATAGTGACATGAATGCTAATCCTGGCCACACAGGTCACAATCTGAAGGTTATTTGCTTATGGAATGCAGACAGTGCAAACTCCTAGAACTCTTTCCATTAGATGGGTTCAAGGAGGTTGGGACATCTGGCTGAAGTTAATGTAACATTATTCTTTCCAGGGCCGATGGCATACACCTCTGTTTCCAAATTTGGAAAGGTGCTTGGACCAGGCTGTAAGGCTCAACCAACAGAGCAGATGATGTAATTCCAGAAGGCAAGCTGTCAAAGTTTAAACAAAGTCTGTGCCTGACCCTTACTCCGAAAAGTCACATTATACTTGTATGCTTAAATGAGAAAATGTCTTTCTGTAAGTTAAAATCAACCAACCATCCAACCAGTCTACCAGTCAACAAAAACTCTTTATGTGGAAGACAGTGTGATGAAAGAGCAAGGCCAGATGACCAAAAAGGGCATCCTGAAATTAGTAGCATTTTTTTTTCTGACTTTTGCAGAAGTTAAGCAAAGTCATGGCCACATACAATCATGTGCCCAGGTCCATAAATTGCTGTGTCTGTATTTGCTGTACATGCCAGGAAGCAAATCAATTTAGGATAGAAAGTGACATCCCTAAATAAAGAAGGTAGGTGGTGGAAGTTCTTCCTAAATATACAGTCCTCTTCAACCATTACTCACTTTCATCAAGCACAGGGAAACTTCAAAGAAAATGCCTAAGTTAGGAGGAGACACAATAATCATTGCTATATGCATAGCCCTGGTTGAGAAAGAAGTCTTGCAGAAGCATAAACAAGATTGACAGCTGCAACAGACCTGTCCCCCAGCTTATACTAGAATCCCTGTCTCTCACCCTCTCCCAGCCCTCAGTCTAACTGTTTTTTAACCATTCAACTCAGGTGTCACTCCTCTTGTGTATCTTTCCCCTCACCATCCTAACTCACTTTTACTTCCCCTTCTTCCCCAATTCCTTTTGGACTGATTGCCTCTGTCCTTAAATCACTCTTTTCTCCACTTAATCACATATTCATGGTTCACTCCTTTTCCTAACAGGTTGTAAGCTTTGTGATGGTCAGGCACAGTGTCTTAACACCTCTTTGGGCTCCTCATCTCATTTCTTCCAGCATCTGGCAGAGAGCTGCAGATGGCAGTCCCCTAATAAATACCTGTAGAATGAATGAACGACTGAATTACCATGCTGGCTTAGCTGCTGATCGTATGGACAATGGTAATCTAGGTAGATTTTTATTTCCATTTGCTAGGCAGGAGGATGAACATCCCATGCATAATCTTAGTCGGTGAGGTTTGGAATGAGATGCCAGTGGTATGTGTTAATATGTGCTCAACCTCAGAACAGATGGATGACCTAAGACCAGCTCACTTAAAGCTATTGAAAACTGTCATGCCTAGATAATAGAACATTTTCAGCACTTTATTTAGTGCTCTATCTCATTAGCTGAAGTATATTCGATTAATAGCTCCAAACTCTGACTATTAAGAACATCATTCATAGCAATGCAGCCTTAATATCTTTCCCAGATTACCAGAATCATCCTGTGACAGCCTGGAAATGTTCCAAAAAAATTTTTTTTTTGTAGCCACAGAATGTTGTTTGGTTCTGATATCAATCTTATAAGTAGTGTTTGTGGTTAGATTTGCTAACTTTTCACATTTACTTAGAGTCTCTATCTGGTAAACAGCTGATCTCCCAGGAAGAGGTTTATTATTTTTTTGCTTGTTTGTCTGCCTCTGGACTTGGCCATCCAGGTGTCCTGCTCTCTAACACTGCCCAATTTGTCTTGGAAATGAAATGATGGAGATGACAATAAAGAAATGGGTTTAACTAAACAGAAACTTAGAATTTAGATGTAAATATCTCTTTCAGAGTGATCATCCTGGGGAGATAACATCCTTGTAAAAATAAAGCTGCCATGGCTTAGAATTCTTGCAGAATAATCACAGGTAGCAAATGAATGGAAAGTGAAGTACAGATATTTTTCTATATCTTCAGTGGGCCCAAAGATCTGCCTTGTATTCTAATGTGCATTTATTCATCTCAAGTATTCAGTGAGTGTTGACTGTGTGCCAGGTGCGGGTTTGGGCACTGGGTCCTGTCCTGGAGTCAACTTTAGGGGACTTTAGCGGGGAGAACAACCCTTAGCAGAGGACAGTGGATTTCAGCTTTGGAAGCAGACAGTTGTCATGGAGGGCCATGTGTGGAAAATAATGTGGGTACTCAAGTAGGATCATACTTTTGTTTTTGATGAACCAACATTGTCTGTGTGAACCTAGGGTAATGAGAGTGAGTCTCTTCTATGCCTTAACAATGGGCCCTGGGGGAAGTTTTAAAACTGGCCCTATGGGTAGTTCCACATGTATCAGCCACGTTAGAACCAGAAATGACTTTGAAGATCAGTACTCATTTTAATGCCTAAGTTCTGATATATATTTTTTAATTTCTTATTTTGTGTCTTATGAATGTATAGTCTGTATATTTTTTGGTAAGCCCAAATGGGATTGTTACTGACACTTTATTTTTCTTCCAGAAAAAATTAACTGCTTTTGATAATTGCTGCAACAGAAGTAAAAACTTTCTTTTTCCAGGTGTTATCATTAACAATACCACAAACTATCATGAGCAAACCCTTTACCTATTAAAGATCTCATAACTTGAGATGAAAAGTCTCTTTTCACATGAATGTGGTTGTCAGATGAGGAAGTGAATCAACAGAAGTTCCAGCAAATTTTTCCTGAGAGATTTTTTTAAATTAAAAGAATACGTAATTTTTTTCATCACCTAGGTCCCTTTACATCTACAATAACATTATCTTGGTGGTGCTTACCTGCATGCCAAAATATTTTGGAACCATTTTACCTTTAGGTATCAGACATCAACCATCCACTAAAATGTCTCTGTGCTTTATCTATGTATTCTAACTACATGATTTCTTTGTAATGAACTTGGTTAAAAATTAATATCACTATACGTCTCAATTTTAAGACACAGCCATTGTAAAATGGAACATTGATTTAATGATTTGGGGGAGAAAAAACTCATTAAATAAACATACTTACTATAAGATGAATCCTGATTTCAGGAGCATCAGAGCGTTAAGGCATGTGTCTTATTCAGAAAACATGATAAATTAATCAAATGCCTCAAAACATGATGAGTTAATGTTAGCTGTCGATGTTACTGCTTTCCGTCTGTGGTAGTTGTTGCTGTTGTTATTTTGGTAACATATGCCAGTATTTACTGCAACTGATTACCCTGTTTGAGGAATCCATAAATTCGTCCAAATCAAACAAGGTATTGTATCAGTTAACTGAGGTTTGTTTACAGTGTATTTTGACTTTATATGCTTTTATTCTAAAATCTCAACCCTTGTCCCAAGTTTGCATATTTAAAAATTAATTTAAAAAGGCAATTTAAATCAACCATATGTAGAAGTTATTTTATGCCCAAGAGAGCTTGGAGAATTATAGGAATGTACGCATTCTACCATCTCTCGAGTTCTCTCCTCACATGCCAGATATCATTCATGTGGAACCCTCCCCTACCCCCCGCAAAAAAAAAAAAGAAATTTCAGGCTTGTAACGAGACCAACTTCGCTCTCCTCTTTCCAGGCGGTCTTTGCTGGGAACTTCAGTGTTGAAAGAATCATTTTTATGGTTTTACAAATGATATTTTCCCATGACTTAAAGACACAAAATTCTACTTTGGTTAATTTCCTTTCTATGTCATTAGGGAAGATAGCTCGGTCGCTCTCAGTCTGTGGTGTCATGTAGGTCATGTGCTAAAAGCCAAAAACATGTTTAAGTTTTCATCATTGCAGTTGCTTTTAAACAGAAAACAAGAAACTATGACTTACATATTATATTTTTTATTTTGTTTGAAAATGTTCTTTGTTGCCATGCCTTCTCATATGTGTCTTGTTGGATTCGGCACAACCTGAAAAGATTAGGCTATTCAATTTCCCCTCTAGCAGGAGAACCTGTTGTTTCATGGTAAATAAGAACAATTAAACCTTTAATTCTCACCCAGCTCAACCAAATTCAGTCAGTCAACTTTTCAAGAATTTTGGGTCAGGATCCCAACATCTTAACATTTCCCCATCTAAAGGGATTCTAGAACCAAAGCTACTTTTACAAGATGAGAAACAGTAAACATTGCCCCTTGTTAATTGTATTTTCCAGCACTTTTCAGTAAATTTGAAAATGTGTATACAATGACTACAAAATTGCCCATTAAGAAGTTTAGAGTTTTTGCAGGGAGGGCAGGGGGAGGTAATTAGGTTTATTTATTTATCTAATGGAGGTACTGGGGATTGAACCCAGGACCTCATGCATGTTAGGCATGCACTCTACCACTGAGCTATACCCTCCCCTCTGCCCACTGAGAAGTAATTGCTGCTTGGAGATAATGTGGGATCATCTAGAGTATCATTTTATGATACTTAGAAGCACTGCTTTAATACGTCATGCCTTAATCATCTACGATAATTGTGTACATCTCCCAAATAGTCTTAACATTTAGTGGACTTTGAAACTATGCACCCATCAAATTTTTGCTTAAAAAATGATCAGATGTGCTTTTCTGTCTATGTCCAGATGCATGTGGTATATGAGTTATGTTGTCATTAACTTTACCAACAAAGTAAGAACTAGGAAACCACCTCCATTGTTGATTTCATAAACCTTAGATTTTTAGTATTACTTTTTTCCTAGCTTACAAACACATAAAACGTTTGCACAGAGTACCATTGTTAAAGCCATTTTCATTGGGATTACCCAACTCCCTCACCCTTTCATTTATTTTTCTCTTTTGCCTGGAGTACTCAAGTTCAATCTTTCAGGTGCCAAGTCTTCTAAGGCTTACTCATCAGTTGAAAGTGTTTTGTGTAGTTTCTCTTCTTCTTTTCCAGATTTCTCTCTTCTCAGGAGACTCAAGATGAAGTCCTTTTCTCCTTGACTTTTTATTCCTTTCTTATTTCAGATGAAGAGGAAGCCACCCCGCCTAGTGCCCTGCCTCCAGGTTAGGATGGTTCCAACCCCTTCCCCTACTTTGCAGTTTATTATTAATTGACAGTGAATAAAATGAAACAGCAGAGCACCTTGATGAAACAGTGCTCAGAGCAGGGGACCTGGGTCTTGCTGGTGCCAAAGAGGGAAAATGTTGGCTTTAACGGTAATTTTTTTTAATGTGAGAAAGTTTTAAAAAAGACTTTTCTTTGTGAAATAAATGAGTATTAACTCTTGGGTATACATTTTAGGGGCAAAAAAAGGTTTGTCTTTCATTTCCAGCTATCTGCTCTTCTCCCCTTTTCCTTAGATATTTGGATTCTTTTATTTTATCATTTTTTAAAATAAGACACACTTTTTACAGATGTTTTCGTAGCTGAAGCTCTGCTGATTTTCCATCCAAGCCAACTTCTAGTTTTTTTCTCCCCATCATCAAAAGAGACAGGATTTGGGGTACCCAGGAGGGTTGAAGTCAGTGCTCCATTTTCTCCCCTTCCCCCTTGTATCATCCAATCACGCTTTCCTTTCAGGTTTGGGTAGTCGGGCCCTGGAAAGAAAGGATTCAGGTGAGCACACGACTGAAGCAAGGCGTCCCGACCCTACCCTAATATAGTAATCACTAATGACCTCGTTTCTTGAAGGTGTATTTGATTCTAATCTTGGTTTTTTTCTGTTTGTAGCTTTTATTGCAATCTTCTATTACATTTCTCTGACTAGAAAACTAATGTATTGAGAAACAATTAATTTTGCATGATGGATACACACACGCACACATAAATTCAGGAATCTAGTCACATGTACTACAGGTTGGTTTGTTTTATTATCGCTATTATGTTTAACATGTGGCAAATACACAGAGATTAAGAGACTTTTAAAATCGCTGTTTCTGAGATGCATTGACATTGACATCAGATAATAATTTGTGCTTTTATAGAAATTTACATGCAGTCAATAGAACACCTCCAAATGCACCCTGTTGTAGCTACAATTCTGTGAGGTGATTTATTTATTCATTCAACAAGTATGTGTGAGGGCCT